GGGAGGTCTACCAGTGGGGTGTGGGAAAGAGTAGGGAGGTCTACCAGTGGGGTGTGGGGAAGAGCAGGGAGGTCTACGAGTGGGATGTGGGGAAGAGTAGGGAGGTCTACCACACTACCAGTGGGGTGTGGGAAAGAGCAGGGAGGTCTACGAGTGGGGTGTGGGGAAGAGTATTATGCTAATAAGATCTAAATCTTCTCTGCCCACTTTAGCTGAGAAGGGGAAACAAAACAAGCTAGACAGTTAATACTCTTCACCTTCCCCCACCCCACTCTTAAATTTCCTCAACTCTTCCCCCCTCCCCCACTCTTCCCACTCATCAAACTTCTCAATGCTTGCCCACTCTTTCTTTAATACTCTGAAAAAGCTAACACCAGTCCTGATTCCATTGTATGCTTAATTTACAGAACTTTAAAAAATCAAACATTATGGGATTTTTCTATTGCCACCTGTTGCGAAAGTACACTGGGTAAAGCACATTTTGTCACAAAGTTTTGGAAGGTTGTCTGGAGTTCAAAATTCTGTTTCATTGCTCATTCATTATAGTCCTTCTGGAGCTAACAGATTGGAGTATGACGGATGAATAATTGATTACTCCACATCTGCCAACTCTGTGATAATTAATTCAATCACCATACCAGGTCATAGACTTCAGTTTAAGGCACAAAGATGTCTGAAAATAACATGATTTCGTGGATATTCTGGGGCGTCCCAATTTCCATCTGGATGCACACAGACCAATCTTGCAAACACTGTTGGAAAATCAATAGTACTTGAGAGAAGCACTGGGAAGAAAGGAAATTGAAGACACGTGTAGAATATATGTATCTGCCTCTTGTCTTGAGACAGTAAACGATCAAGAAAAGGTAATAATCTCACATAACAGTAGTGTAGATTTAGTATTCTATCTAAAAGGTAAAATCCCACAGTTTGAGATGCAATTGTACAGTCGTAATCTATAGTATAACTATAAGGTAGTGATTTTCATGTTATTATATTATATTACATGTAGAATACTCTTGGTTCAGTACACACATCTGATGTGGATATAGTTTCAGTGTTTTTGATATTGAATGTGTTAGTGATCATTAATCATTTAGCTTATATAAATGGCATGCAATCAATCTACATATACCTGTATAAATAGCGAAATCCTGAAAAAATGGTTACTAGTACTTTACGGTCTGCCTCAATTTAATGTACATATCTACTGCACAATATGTAGAAAATGTACAATCGTCTGAGAAGACATAAAAATAAGATAACTTGTCATGGCCTGAAGAACAATTAAGATGTGCTACCTTGTGTTCACCCTTGAGTGCATCGTTGAAGTGTCTCCTGGCTTCTGTCAAGGCTCGGCTGGCCTTGGCTATGTTCTCCTCCTTGGGAGGAACCTCTTGAAGGTGAAGTTCAAGCTTTGTTTCCCCGAGTACCAATTGGACCAAGGGTTCTAAGGAAAGTAAAAGATTGACGTTTTAAAGTGGTATATACAAAAGTCACATTTTGAAATGGATCTGTAGGGTAAGTAGGCAATCTAGGCCCCTGTTGGGCTCTAGTCTGAAGTTGGGATTAGAGTCACCATCTTTCCCAATCATGATTCATGGTAATGCATCATATCTCCAAACCAATGCCCTGAGTGCCAGGTATTTTACAGACTGATTTTGTCCTGTAGGAATCCCTATAGCTCCCAGGCTGCGTTTGGACACATGTGGACCTCTGGTTGATTTTAATTCTAACCTAGAATTAAGACTGAAAATTAAGGCTCCTTCTGGCAGATATAGCTATGGTACAATGCAAGAGACTAAAATATTTTGTCCAACCAACTGTAATGTGCTAGGAATTATCTACTACTACTGGTAAGAAGTTACCAAATAACTTCTGTCAACAACTGTCGGACTAGGTTATTCCAGACTCCAAAAGATGATCTCACAGTTAAATTATACGTTATCTCAAAAGCTTTTTATAATGCACTCTATACCCATATATAAATGTCAGAGGCTCCGCTTCACTTACTCTGGGGAGTTTAACATGTGTCTTAACTACTCCTGACATATAGAGCACTAAGTTTTAAGCCCAGAGTAAATTGCGTATCCTGGGAGAAGAGCTGCCACTACACAGTTATTACACCTGAAGTAGTAGATGGATGGGAACACTTACTGAAATCCCTCGACGATGGAAAAGTGTTGGGCTAGAAGACTGTGTAATGCATAACTGATACCTTACATTATATCATAAATCACCAGGCCTGAGATATGGATTGAAGGTCTATTTTACTTTCTATCATTTGTATTATGCCATGTAATGACTGTAGGTGTAGGTATAGATTTTCATACATTTCTAGTACCATCGATCATAGTATTGAATTAACTGTTTTACATCACCATTCATGAATGAGGCACTGGTGCTTGTTGTGTGCTGACACCCCACCAGGGAATGGTACAGTCCAAATACATGTACAAGTTATTATTATACCTCATTTTTAGTGACTGTTGACTTCAGCATAAACATGTTGTACTACACAGCTGATTTGTAAACAAATTCCAGGGTTTTAAAGCTGTCTGCATTATGTAACATTAGGCCACACCAATTTAATTTCTTGGTTAACGGATTCGCCGCTTCATTTTTTTCAGACTTGCAAATAAAAATAAAAATCCAGAATCAACTGCAAAATGCTCATATTTTGCCCTGAACAGTTGAAAACAGACCTTTTCTTCCTAGTTGTTACAGTCATTCCATCTTTCAATGCAATGGTATCATTAAAAGTTAAAAATTCATTGTTTAAATTTTGAACCAACCTGGTGTGTTGACTTCATAGCTCCTATCGTACCATTTTGGGCCATAATACGATGCCTAGGCCTGTTTTTATTACTCCGTGAAGGAGGTCAGGACCTCCGGACGGAGTGTTGTGATCGGCTGATTTTTCATGTTCGCAGTCAAAACACTGGGTTCTCTTTGTGTAATCGGCACGCAATTTTATACGCCGTCTGCGGGCATGCCCGTGTTGATGCACGAATGTGTATTTTTGCCGTTGCTGCTTTCGCGGTCAATGTAATATTGCAGACGCACCCCTACAATTACGAGGCGAATTGGAATGGTCCAGAAAAACGCGTTGTTTGGAATAGCAGTGGGGGGTGGAACTTCATGCAGATACGGGGTGGTTTTGATAAGTGGTTCCAGATGTTTTTGCCCATGCTTAAGAGATGCCAAGTTTTTTGGAAGATGTTCGCAGCCAAAACGCATTCTTCCATACGTCGCATTTCTGTGTAATTTCGCATGTGGTGTGGCATTATGTCCGGGATGATGCACGTCTTTTTATTTTTACCGTAGCTGTTTTGATATTGAAGTAAATGCATATTTTTGAAACATCCCTACTTTTACAATCCTGTGGAATAGGCCGTAGGTTTAGGCAGTTGTCTGGTAGCAGAGGTACTCTAAGCAGATATTCTGGTTATCTGGCCGGCGGTAGTAACACTCGCGGTGCTTACTGCAACTGTTGCTGGAATTTCGCCTGTTCCAGGCGCGCTTAATTAGGTACAGGCACGGTAAGACGGTGGGGCTGTCTTTGTTACTAGACACGACCATGATAGTCCGATCTTTATGTGAATGCAATGATTGTGTGTGTGTAATTAAAATGAACTTCGAACTTAAAGCACAGTATCTTTACACGCCCTGGGAGCAGTAATGGATTTAGCTCTTTGTATGTTTTATGCTTGTGACGCGCCCTCATTGTATTAACCGTTGCCTAATTATAATGTCTGCACAGTAGGTCTGGCGTTGACGCTTGGGATTTTGTTGAAATATATAAAACTTAACGGAGGATTGTCACCTATGGCTTCTTGTTTTTATTTTTTTTTCGCCCGCCCGCTCCATTATTTTTCTAGAAAAATCCGTTAACCAAGAAATTAAATTGGTGTGGCCTTAGGACATACCATGGAGGTAAAAAAGAGAATTGCGTCGTCTCTCCTTCTCTTTTTTACCTCCATGGACATACAAATGGGAATTTTTCTGGTCATTTATTCAAAGTAAGTTGTATCAACCCTACTCCATTGCAAATAAGTGCCACTCAGGAAGTGTAAGTGCATCACCTTTGTGAATACTGCTTTAGGCAAAGCGAAATGATAAAATTAACATTGACTTTTGATCATTCTGATTCCGGCAATGTAGAATAGAATAGCTCAACCAGTTCACACAATCCTCAGGGAACGAATCAGACCTCCAATTCTAAGGTCACCTGAATGAGAGCTGTACCCTCATCTATCATCACCATGGTAACAACATCCTCTCCATCAAAATGACTCTCATACACTCTGACCATAATTTGATACACAGATCCGGAGCCATCGGTACTCTAACCCAACAGTTACCGTTCTATTTCTGCAACCGGTGCATGTGCCAAGATGTACATGATTTTGCGATGCTCTGCTAAACGCCTAATTGGTAATAATGGAGAGGAAATTGCATTTGGCCTTCAAAGTCCTTCAAAGCCAAAAATTGATGCTGATTTTTCTTTGGGTTTCACTAAAAATCCTGCACGTTTTTGGTTCTTTTTTATTCGAAAGTGTATAATTTACATTAAAGTAACAACAGGAAACATGTCTTCTTTGCTCATTGATAATAAACAATTCACAATTTTGTAAAGTGATGAGTAATATAGTTAAAACTTCATCCGATCCTGTCATTCATTGGAGAAACGCCCCCCACCCCCATATTAAGTTCAACCTTCATCACAGCCTCGAAACAAGCGTATATAAGAATTCTGACAATACCAACCTAGTCCTGAGTGTTTCCCCCTTTCCAGCTGCCTGACTAACTCCATGGCTTTGGTCCAGTTCCCTTCTGCGCGACATTTTTCCACTTCAAGTTCCAGTCGACCGGGCTTGCGCGCCGCCATGTTTGTATTATGTGTCCAATCTCGTTCCCAGGGTGGTGATCCCACGGTACCCTGGACACGAGATTTGACCCCAGCCTCGGTTTCTGTCCCCCTGTGACCTTCCCCGGGAAACCCGTCCAACTCTCTCTTTCCCATCTTGGTCGCCATTGGAGTGTGAGTGTGATAAAATTTGGCCCAGAAATATGTGCATTATTTTCGCGATTTTGATGTCCATACTGTAGTACTGTATATCAATGGGTACAAGAGAGTTTATGGTTTTTATGTGTGTCGTTTCAGGGCGTCAACATGCAGATTTTCGTGAAAACACTCACGGGGAAAACCATCACCCTAGAGGTAAGGAGACATGTGCAACCCAGGGGGGAGGGGGGCAACATAATAATTTTTCTGATGTACATGTGACAATATTTCCTGATCTTTAAACGAAATTATGAAACAATGAAAAAAACTTGTTCAGTGCTGTCAAACTTTGTTGCACTTGAAAGTGAAAGTTGGTGCTGTTTCGGATAATTTCTAACTGCACTGTACAGTTTAAGGTTTATGCATGCACCAAGAAATATTATTATTAATTTATGACATTTTGATATTACTACATATACATGCAATGTGCACACCTGTCGTCTGTAAAGGTGGTATAGGTATGCCTTGTTTTGGTGTTGAACACCTCTTCTACAGTTTTCTCTTTTGTATGTTGTCAGTTGTTAACTTGTATGTAAGTTATTGTAACTGTGTGCCAAATGTTTTTGTCAGGTGGAACCCAGTGACACAATCGAAAATGTGAAGGCCAAGATCCAAGACAAAGAGGGTGAGTAGACAGTAAGGTGTTAATTAAACAACTGAGTTTTGGTTGCGGTGACCATAAATTTACAGTCGTGTATGAATATCATCGTCCTAACCATAACCAAAGCATAATTATATAAATTTAATATAATATAGCTTGTACTTAGTAGAAAAAAGCCTTCTCAAGATACTATTGTTAGTTGTAGCTTACACAGAGGCACCATGTAATGATCCTTATTTATGCATAATGTTCGTACAAACTTATTCTGACTTATGAGTTATTGACTTGAAATTGCAGGCATCCCTCCTGACCAGCAGAGGCTGATCTTTGCCGGCAAGCAGCTGGAAGATGGCCGCACCCTGTCGGACTACAACATCCAGAAGGAGTCCACCCTCCACTTGGTGCTCCGCCTCCGAGGTGGTGCCAAGAAGAGGAAGAAGAAGAACTACACCACTCCCAAGAAGATCAAGCACAAGAAGAAGAAGGTCAAGCTGGCTGTGCTGAAGTACTACAAGGTAGAAATGGCTTTCCCTTTGTTTTTTATTGCTAAGCTTGTCTTGTATTTATAGGTAATGCCTGACCAGCAAAAGGATCAGTCTGTTCAGATGTACATGTAGTGTGCTTTTCTTTATCAAGAAAGATAGTAAGAGAAATTTGGTACATGTATATGAAAGGGTTGATGTTTGATTTAAAAATACATTGATGTTGACAAATGTTTGGCGACACCTCCGGCATTGATCACTGCTGTTGCAATCAGTTGTTTTCCTATCCAGACTGACTAATTCTCTCTCTCTCTCTCAGGTTGATGAGAATGGCAAGATCACACGTCTAAGACGTGAGTGCCCGTCCGAGGAGTGTGGTGCGGGGCTGTTCATGGCCAGTCACTTCGACAGGCAATACTGCGGGAAGTGCTGCCTCACATTTGTGTACAACAAGCCTGAGGAGAAGTAAAGCACATGCTGAGATAAATAAATACAGATGTGAATATTGGAACAACTATGTTGTCATTATTTGAATTAGCAGAGTTAAGTATAGACAGACATACAATAGTAAAGTAACTTTTGTACTGTGGTATATGTGTCATAGATATAAGTTTTGTACAGCAGTAAATGTAAAATCCACAGAGGCTGACCAATGTCACTTGGCCTGGGTTTTGAACTGATCTACATGTTATATTATACTTAGGAGTTTAAATTTGTAAACCTTGTGATTCTCGTGAAAGGGGTAAATGCTCCTGTTCTCATTGGGTTCTCAAGTCAAATTTAACATGCCCACCACCAGAGGCTGACCAATATCACTTGAAATTGGGTTTTGAACTGTTCTACATCTTATACTTAGAGGGACCTTAAGATTGGTAAACCTTGTGGTTTTCTCATATTCCTGTTCTTATTCGGTTCTTGGAGTCAAATTTAACTTTCTCACCACCTAGCAACTTCAAAGTGCTACTCATCAGATCCACATTGTTTTTCTTGTTGGTGTTTGTGCAAAACAGGACCAGGAAAGGTAGTACATACATTTTTGTACTAGTACCCTAATTCAAAAGCATGTGATGATAACACGGCAAAAACACAAGACACAAAATTGTACTTTCAGCAGAAAGAATGCCTTTATTGTCCAGCTTCAAGTTGCTGTAATATGTACCTATAGCAGTTATGATATTGACTGATTCATAATCTTTGCTTCCCTTGCACCAGAAGATAATTATTGAAATATTAATGATACACGTGGTAGATGTTCCATGAACATCTAACCTAAAATCCTGGGTTCCAGTCTATTGTTTGAGGAACCTCGTTGACCTCAAAGCTCTGTATGACGTCTCCATGCCTGATGTCCGGACACTTGTGCAGAGCTATCCCACACTCCATCTCCTGTCTCACTGTCCAAACATCATCCTTCAGGTGCTTCAGGGAGGAGACAGGGCCTGGGGAAGAAATAAGGATAAAAAGAAAATAATAAAAATACCCAATAGTAGGGTCAAATTCCAATACTAGTATACTGAATGATAAGCATATCAGCATCATTTCATTTTTATATAAAACTTACTTTTCCAACGTGACCTTTTCAGTCAGTATAGGTTTATCAACAAATTTGCCAATTTCAACATGGCTGTATAACCAACAGAAAAGGAGGTACTAGTATGTGATTGGCCAACAAATGTACAGACTGGCTACATGGTAACATAAGAGTTTACAGACCTCTGAATATGACTTCGCCATTCCTGACCAGTAGTGCATCCCTCCTCTTGTCCATCTCACCCTGTGTCACCCTGCACCCCGCCACTGGGACTTTTTTCTTCCCCACGGTCACCTCAAACACCTGGAGTACGTGGGCTGAACCTGTAACAAAAGGACAATCACAGATATTTTGTACTTTGACACTGGCTTCATCTACAGTAGATGAAGCCAGTTATATCTATATACATGTATTACAATGTATCTCTTGTTTGATATTTCAGGCAATCAGGTGGGATTGCAAAATCCTAAACCGTTTACTGTTGATTCTATTGCTTACAAGACCACACATTTGGATAACATTTGACTGTTGATGGGTATGACGTATGTCTTCCAGTGTCTACAAGTTTCTGTAGTCTGGAAGTGTGAACTCACCCATTGTTGAAAATGAAAAATTATTAGATCCATCTGTTTTTGTGAATGCAATTTGTGAGAAAGAATAGACTATGAACCAGCTGTCAGACCATCCTCTCCTACCACAGTCCAGCACCTAGGCTGTCTTGGAAGAGTTAACTTCCACTGGAGGAATAGAAAAGACGACTGTAAAAGCTGAGTACCTTTGATGTCCAGTTCCTCCTTGGTGGGTAGTTTGGCAGACAGTTCTTCCTTCAGGTCTTCAAACAGTCTGTAAATGATCTTGTGTATCTTCACAGGAACATTTTTCTGTTCAGCCAGCTTAGCCACATCTTTAGGTACCGTGGAGTTGAAGCCATACACCAAACCTGTGGGGATCACCAAAAAGAATAAAAACTACATTTTGAAGTACAGATATCTTTCTCATTTAGGCCACACTAACAACACTGCACAACTAGGTTTGATTTTGAAACACTATGGTGCATCCCTAGTCTTATGAATTAGTGCAAAAAAAGTTTCTCACCATCAAAGGCTGCAGCCATTTCTATATCAGACTCAGTGATGGCTCCGACATCAGCGTGAATGACCTTCAACTTGCAGTCTTCCTCACAGTCATAGGAGGCCAGGGTGTCCATGATGGCCTCTATGGAGCCAAACACATCTCCTGGACAATACAAGAACTATCAGATGCCAAAAGAACTCCACACTCCCATCATTGCAATTAGTATCTAAAAGTCACAGTGTTGCTTGAAACTTGCTTCTTCATACATGCAGAAGGACAGCTTAAAAACTCTCTGAAGATGGTGTGGAAAATTCACAACAAAATAACATACATAAATCTTAAGAAGTGTTGAGAAAGCTATCTACTCTGATGCCTCTATCCAGAATGTACCTCTGATGACAATGTTCAGCTCAGGCTCCGTGCTCCTGACCTTCTCACTCCCTGGTGTGGGTTTGAACTCCTCGTACTTCACCTTCTTCTGCTGCCATCTCCTCAGGTCCTTGGTGGCCTCCCGTACGGCCTGGTAGTGCTCCAGATGTTCCTTTGTCTTCCTGTCAATCTCCACCTGGTCATCTGCCAGCTTCTGTTCCTTCTTCTGCTCCAGTCTCAAGCTGACAACCTCATGAGCACGGGACTACACAGAGATAGGAACATGGTGTGATCGTGGTTCACTGATATCCATTCCCTAACCATATCCCATTCTAACTCCGGTTTGATCCTCTGATGTTGCTTCTCTGAAGAATAGTCTGAGCAACCATCCTCCCCATCAATGGTCCTTACAATTTATATCTTGCAATTTTCAAAAATCAAACGTGTCTTCGAGTTAGAAACAGCAGAACAGGGATCAAGCTTTTTGTTACCGTCACTCAGAGCCAATCAGAGATCTCACGCATATAGCTATATCAATACATCTACGTTCACACCCAAAAATACATGATACATGTATAGAAATGTACAGTACATTAGAAAGATCTAGAACTGTAACAACATATGACAATAAGGCACATAACATATGTGTATTTATTTCCCTTAGAACCCATTTTGCTACACGTCATGGCAGTGTAACAGTATGGTTTGTGACTGTCACTTCAGCAATTCAACAAGTGTATTTCACTTAGGATATTAATGCTTCACCTCTGTTTCCACCTCCAGTATGAGGTCTCCTGCAGAAGGGAGGTCCTTCCA